GCTAAAATAGCATCACACTATTTTATAAATACTCAAAGAGTAAAAGGAGTTTTTAATAATTCAGAGATGATCATTACAAGGGCCAAATGGCCGAAATATATAAGGAGGGGAGAGGAGGGAAAACACACAATATAATGAATGCAAATACAAGGAACCTTCCTACATCCCTTTATCATTCACTAGCTTCCAATCTTGAGTTGATAAGGGCTGATTTTGTTTGACTTTGTCTTGGCTTTGGAGCTGGCTTTGTCTGTCCTGTTGTGGAGGCAAAAATCACAAAGAATGAATGAAATCCTTTGATGATTGTGGTGGATATTCTGGCTAAAAAGAGGGGACAAACAAAGATGGGTGATGGATGGTGTATTGGCCTTATATTCTTGGTCATATGAGGTGACTGATTTAGTAGGTGGTGTATCAACAACAACTCAAATGTCCCTTGGCTTTTTGTGGTTGTTTATTCAGCCCTAGTAGGGAACATAAAGGGGACAAGAATGGGGAATATCTTGGTTGATGTTGTGTTGGGATAATGAGGGATATTTGGCCTGGGATTTATAGAAAAGGATAGAAGGTTTTATTTGTTTATTAAAAGGTTTAAAAGAAAGAAAATAACAACAAACAAAGGTTGTGGTTTACACACTCTTATTTTCGGCCAGGGCCTAAAATAGGAGTAGGAAAACTTTATTTTGAAAAGGAAATATTTTGGATGTTTAGGGAAGGTATGGAGAGTGTGGCCTCAGCCTAGGGTGGGTGTAGGACAACCATGGTGTTGGGTTGGGTTCTAAGACAGGAAAATGGAGAAGTTTCAACCCAATTAATGTCACCACACTTGGGCTTTATTCCCCTGATCTGTCTTTCCCTTGGCGGGCTACGGAGAGTCTTCGGGCATGCTCCCGGATATATATCAGTGTGTGTGTGTGTGTGTTGCATCGATAGACTCCAGTTCCTCGTCTTCTTTTCTAAGCTTGAGACCTAGGTCAATAGGAAACTTTGCAGGATTACACTCCCACAAATTTTCATTTTAAGAACCTTTGTTTGCATATCCTGTTTGCTTCAAAGTATTGCCACTTTTGTACTGGTACATCTCTATTCCCAAAAACGGAAAAGAGTAAATTAGAAGCCCCAAAGCACTCTCATTTGAGACCAATTTTTCATTTGTCTTTTGAACCCAACAATCTCATCAAAGTATACTCCAAGTACTAATGGTCCATTCTTCGTGGTTCGCTTATATAAAACATGTTCACGTGGATACCGCTTGAAACCAAGTTGTACAATTGCATCTAACTTGAATTCCAAGCTCCTGCGGCTTACTTCAAACCATATAAAGCATTTAGCATTTTACTAGGTTGTACACTAGATGTTCCTTGCCTTGCTGCTCAAACCCCATTGGTTGTGATACATATACATCTTCCTTTAAGTCTCCATGTAAGAAATCAAGATGATGAACTTCCCACCCATCTAAAGCAGCTAGGGATAGAAGCAAACAGGCAGTTTCCATTCGGGCAACGGGAGCAAACACCTCGTAGTAGTTGATACCATGTTTTTGGACATACCCCTTTGCAATGAGTCTCGCTTTATAGTGAATTATATTATCATTGACATCCATTTTGGATAACCACTTCAGACAAATTGGTATATTTCTTTTAGGTAGTTCAACCAACTTCCAGGTTCCATTCCGTTCAATAGAGTCCAATTCGTCTTGCATTGCAGCACTCCATTCTTTGCTTCTTTGGCTTCACTAAAGGTACTTGGTTCTTCATTGTATAATAATAGTTCTGCGTCATCAAAGTGAGGTAGATTGAATGGCTTGTGATGTATCGATTGAGTTCTTGAATACACATCATTAACGGGCAAAATCCTTGAAAGGTGTATCATCATAATGTGAACTTGAAACCGGACTCGCTCATGATGAACCAAGATTTTCAAACTCTTGTGGGCTGCTTGAGCCAGATGGTGAACTATTCTCCAATTGGCTAACGGATTCAAATGCTAACCAATTGTCCCATACAAAAAGTACCTTTAAAACTAAAGAGAAAATTTTACCGTACTGTTATTCGACCAGCTATATTGTATGGGGCAGAGTGTTGGGCAGCAAAGGGTGAACATGAACACAAGGTCAGTGTGGCGGAAATGAAGATGCTTCGTTGGATGAGCAATCATACGCGTATGGATAGAATAAGGAATGAAGATATGAGAGCTAAAGTTGGAGTCGCACCTATTGTAGGAAAAACATGTGGAGAGAAGACCAATAGAATATCCCGTGAGAAGGGTTGATCAAATGGTGAATATGCATGTGGCGGGAGCAAGAGGTAGACCTAAGAGGACTTGGCAAGCATTGATCAAGGGAGACCTCCGTGTGAACAATCTCACAGTAGATATAATACACGACAGGGTGCAATGGCGTCGTTTGATCCATGTAGTCGACCCCACCTAGTGGGGTAAGGCTTTGTTGTTGTTTGAGCATATAAGTTTCCTATGGTATGTATTGTTGTTGCACCTAGTGAGAAACTAATATGTGGTTACAAAGTACTCCCTCCGTCCCAAAACTAGAGTCTCACTTTCCATATGTGGCATCCCAAAACTGAAATTTCCATTTCTGTTTTTGCCTCACCTAGCCCATTAAAAATACTATAATACCCCTACTTTTTCCAACTAATTTTTTCTACACACCCCCGTTTATTTATCACCGTTAAACGCATTACACTTTCTCACACTATCTTTTCAAGGGTAAAAATGGAAGGTCAACCACACTTTAAAATTTGCCTTAATTTATGTGAAGTCCAAGTGGGACTTAAGTGAGAAATCTATTTCTCCGTTGATAAATGGTTGAACAATACTCTTGTTGTACTTATGAGTGTAGGATATAAATTCATTTCTTCAAAAGCTGCAGTTAATATGAACTGAGTACCTATGTGGACTCAGCCAACAAAGATATTTTTATTTATCACTCATTGAGGATCGTATGCATTATTTTATTTACAGTATATTACTTGCAATGGATGTACAATATTCATGTACGGACAGAGTTACAGGACTCAACCAACTCATTGAGGATAATTTGGATTATTTTATTTATATTAAGACACAATGTAATGAAGAAGTTAATACCAGTATACTTGTTCTCTGAAGAAAAGAGCTTCTAGTTTAGCCTGTTTAGGGATGATATTTTCTGCAGATGTGCAAAATTCTTGCTCTCATGCATATGCAATTTTTTTCCTTTTTTTTACTATTATTTTAAATTACTGAGATGAATAATATTTCCTTACAAACATGTTTTAGGCTAGCTCTAAAAGCATTTACTGATCAAAAAAGGCGATTTTTCCCTCACCTGGAGAATGGCTGTGATGAGGGATCACCAATGAAGAAAAGGTGTAGTTCAACAGCAAGTGATCACGATGATATTAGTAGCCTAAGAACAGTATCTGATATTCTGTCACATCTGGAAAAAGTAACTCCGAACATGAAAGCTTTCACTTACCAGCGCTTGGATTGGTTAAAGCGGGCATCTTCATTGCCATCTTCTGCTCATCAACATTCTGTTGAGTTGATGAAAAATCACAGCTTTCATATGCGAAATAACTTGATATCAGGATCAAATGAGAATGCTTCTAGAGAAAAGGTCACTGTGATTGAGTTGTTCATGCCCTCTGTTTTCAGAGCTATTCTATCAATACATCCAGCTGGTTCAGTGGACCCTGATGCTGTGGCTTTCTTTTCACCAGATGAGGTTTATTTTTTCTTCGAAACCTGAAAATTTAAAAAATGCAGGCTGCAATTTGGCTGTGTGAATTTGGTTCAAATAATTACATTGTTGTTGCTGGGCATTATTGAAAATGCAATGACCATCTGGTTCCAATTTATAGTGAACAGTGTAGCTGTGAACATTTACTTGCTATGAACATTGTCTCTGTGGTTCTTTATACATTATGTCTCAGAAGTACTTCCATAATATGGACTTTGGACAATTGGTTTTAACTTTTGACTGGTTTCCCATTTTTTTATTATGTTTGGCCATTGGTGTTCATTTCTGATGTACTAAAATTTTCACATGTAGGGCGGAAGCTATGTACATTCAAGGGGGGTTTCAGTGCACGAAGTATATAGACACATTACGGTATCAACTTGCACTAGTTCTGCTGAACTTCGATACTGAATCCAGTATACGCTCCTATTGTCCATCAGAAGGAATTGTGCAGCTTCCTTTGATTGATATTGAATTTTATACCATCGCTGAGCTCACTGTCCTGTCGATTGCAGGAACATGCTGGTATCGCTCTGCAGTATTTTACAGGGTCAAATGCAGAAACAGCTTTATATTCATTGCTGGTAAGTTTCTTTCACTGCGTAATCGTTGAATCTTTTCACCTATGCTTTTCACAATTTGAAACTCGTAAAGGTGTTACTCCTACTTGCAGTTGTGGGTTTACAGTTACCATTCCTTGTTCAGGAAAGTTTGCAGGTGAGTTTTCCCTCCTGCATGAATGAACTCACCTCACCATTCCATACTTCTCCAGTTCTTCTCAATGACAATCATGTAATCTCTCTCTGCAGCAAATGCAGCGGCCTGCTATTGATGGACAAACAATCTGCCTCGTTGCTGCCTCCTGTGAACCGCTCTTTCCGAAATATTTCACCTGCTAAGATCCTCCTATCTAATGCTCCCTCAACAGTGGAAAAGGTTGTAGATTCTAATAAGGCTTTTCATATAAGCTGCTTTTCCGAGGAAGCTTAGCGACTGCAGTGAAATGGCCGACCATATCCCAAAAGCTAACTGATGTTCTCTTGACAGCACATTGCAAGGTGTGAATCGTTTTCTCTTATTCTATTTGTTGCAGTTTTCCGAAATGCCTGGAAACCGCAAGCCATGATGCTGCAAAACTGTTCTTATTTCTACCTACTACAGGTCGTTGTTGATTTGGATTTTGAAAACCAGTTGGAAAATTTATGGGATTAGTTGGTGATTCTTTAACAAGTTTCCATGGGATGTATGGAATTGTCACATAAAACTTACAGCCATGAACAATTGTTGATAATGCCTGCATAGTGGCATGTATTATGTCTTGGGGTCATTTGCATACATCGTAGCTCATTTCCAGGGCTTCTTCGCAGCCATTTGCGTTTTACATGTATTTTTTCTCCTATTTTTGTATCTTATGAGATCCTTTGTTATTATTATTACTCTCTCCGTCTTAATTTAAATTGTTTGTTTTAGCTAACGATGTTTGATTGAAATTATTTTTAAATCATTTTATATGAAAAATGGTGTGTAATTAAAAAATAAAATTACATATTTATAAACTACTCCCTCCGTCCCAATTTATAGTGTCTGTTTTGATTTATGATGTTTGACTGAAATTATTTTTTTAAATCATTCTATATGACAAATGGTATAGAGTTAAAAAATAAAAATTACATATTAAAATACTACATCAAAAGATCTACAAAAGTAGTATTGACAATAGTACTTTATTTTATCAAAGAAATATTTGCACTAAATAACACTAAAACTTAGGTCATTTTTCTAAATAGCACTTAAATTGTTTTATTCTCTAAATAGCACTTAACAATGTTTATAGTGTCCACTGATAGCAAACATTTACTTGAATAATGATTAGTGGATAATGACTAAAAATGCTGCATTAGAAGAAAAAACATATGTGATTCTATTTAGAAAAAGTCATTATGTTCTAGTGTTATTTACGTAAATTCCCTTTTATCAACCTTGAAGAAGATCTTTGAAAAGGTGTAACAAGTCGTGGATTAGTGGAAGAGCTGTTACACCAACGTGGGCCCCGCAGACGTAGGAGAGATGCTCCGAACTGCATAAACAATTCTCGTGTACTGTTTACTGTTTTTACTTTATATTTTGTGTGTGTGATTGTGATAGAGAAGATGTTATAGCACACTCTCTGCCATCTGTTACTGTGACAGTGTTGTATCATGCATCATGCGCATAAAACTTAAAGCGTCTTTTAAGAACTAAGCTTTTTAGTTACATACCTGATGTAGAACATCGTGTTGTCCACTCCTCCTCTGATATATCCTTGTTTAGCCAAAGGGGGGGGGGATTTTTAGTTAACTCCTAAATCAAGGACCTCAATATATATGGTAAATAAAATCATTTTAAATTTGCAAACTAAGGAAAAAGGGTAGATTAGGAATATTAACAAAGGGTGCCACGCTGCCATACAAGTAAAAAATGGCATGGGACCTTGCATATAGATAATTTTGGTTGCTTAATGGTGTTATCTAGGGTGATTTCTTTAAAGATGTGCTTAATTATTTTGTATAATGAGAATGAATTAAATCATTCTATTTCTCTCCTTTCCTCTAGAGTCATTTCGGCCTCTTCCCTTCCTAAACCTATTCCCTCTTTCTTTCCCACTTTCTTGGAGTTGAAGCCACTCAAAGGTCTTCTCAAGTTGATACTTGATACCACTCTATTAGTGGTGCTCTCATTTATACATTTTTATCGATTAGAAGAAAGAATCATATTTCCATTTTTTTCGGGTCAGAATTTTTTTTTTCAAAAAAAATAACTCCCACCGTTCTGAATTAATCATCCCAGTTTAACTTCAAAGAGTTTAAAAAAAGTGTTGAAAATTAAAAAGTGGTTGAAATTTGATTAGAAGAAAGAAAATTGTGTACCACCCATTCTTTACTTTATTAAAAAAAGTAAAGTGATATAAAATACAGACCAAAAAAAAGGTGAAACCATTAATTCGAGACAAATAAAGTATGTTATATACCGGTAAACTATTTTTTCTCTTTAAAAATCCTAATAAATTATTTTTCAGTATTTAATACACCGTACTTTGTATGTTTTAAAATTTGTTTTTCTTTGTGACACTTTCGAATAGGAGATCCCATGTTCGAATTTCAATGAGGGCAATTGTTCTATCCATATATTTTATTAGATTGAGAGTGTATGGATGATCTAACTTTGTAATTAAATTATACTCTCTCTGTCCCAAATTAAATTAGCGGTTTATTATTCATAAAGTCAAACTTTATTCACTTTCTTTCAATGTTTTTGTTAATTATTTGATAAAATAATATAGTCATGTCAACACTAATTTTGTAGATCTCTTGATGTAGTTTTTAAATTTGTAATTTTTATTTTTTAAATGTACACTTTTTTTTATGTAAAATGATTTAAAAATAATTTTAATCTAAAGAATATAAACAATTTAAATTGGGAGAGCAATAAGGTTGTTAGTGTTTAAAAAAGAGTAAATTCCATAAAAGGTCCCCAGTTATAGGTCGTTTTACATATTTAGTCCCTAAATATCAAATATTACTAATTTAGTCCCTAATTAGTATATCATTTTTTACGAATGGTCCTTTGTTAACATTTTTGTTAAGAATATGGATAAAATTGTATATTCATACTTCTCTCTCTCCTCATTTAAGCTTCCTCCTTCTTTTCGTACTCTTTCTTAAACTCATCACTGAGTTTGAAGCTCTAAACCCAAAACTCAAATGATCATTCCTCTCTCAATTATTAGTCTTCCTGGTGGAACCTAAAATCAAACCAATAAGCTTTATGGATGAGTTTTATCGGTTAGTCTCAAGATATTGCAAAGAAAATAAACATTAAAACTCATCCATGAAGGTTATTGGTTTCGGATTTGGGTTCCACTAGTTAGACAAACAATTGAAAGAAGCGTGATGATTTCAGTTTTGGATTCAAAGCTTCAAACTCAGCGATGGGTTCGGGAAATGAATGCGAGAGGGAGGAAGCTTAATTGAGGAGAGAAAGGAGGGTGAATTTACAATTTTATCCACGTTATTAACGGAAATGTTAACAAAGAACCATTCGTGGAAATGAATATAATAATTGGGAATTAAATTAGTAATATTTGATAAGTAGGGACTAAATATGTAAAATGACCTAAAACTGGGGACTTTTTATGGAATTTACTCTTAAAAAAAATGAACACTTTAATTTGAAAGTGAGAGTTATGGACTTAGACACCAAATTCGTCCACTTCTTTATTCCATCTTGTGCTTAGATGGTTAAAAAAGGAAATGTGATACGGTAGAAGAGTAGTCCCTCCTCTCCAAACCCCCACGGTCACACGAAAACCCTTTCCCCTCACCCCCTCCCTCAGCAAGCCAGTCGCCCACCATGAATTTCTTCCAGCAGAAACCACCGCCGTCACCGCCGCCACTGAACAATTCATCTTCACCCCCACCTCCCCTTCACGAATTCGTCCAGCAGGCGTTCTCATCCCTCCAAACCAACGTCTCTAATTTCTTCCAAAATGCCCTTCAACAACCCCCATTTCATCCTCGCGAATCCCCAGCATTGGCTCGTGCTTCCAGCCTCGTCAGCAGTCCCAACGGCAGCGCATCTATTTCTTCCGCCACAACCGGCGGTGGCGGGAGTAGAGAGGGGATTCGCAGTTCACCTACAACGTCTATCCGGGAGCGGTTTACTGGCGTGCCCCTGTACGCTCTCAGCAATCCCATTCAGGAATTCGTTTTGGTTTCTGCAGGGAATGGAAAAACAAGTCTAGGTTTGTTTTGCTTAGGTGAAGCTGATGCAGCATCTATCCTCCACCAATTGAAAAGCATAGACCCTTCTATGCACAAGGATTATAGAGTGGTGCCTGTGGCACTCAATGAGGTCATATCGTCTTTTAATCTAAAATGTACTCCATATGAATGTCAATTCCTCTTATCTTTGATGCTAATGCAGGTCATCCAGCTTAAGGTCAATGGAATGGCTTTTCGGTTGATTCCAGAGGCGTCACAAGTGATGAATGCAATTAAGGTAAAATTGTGATTTATTCTTTTCTCCAAATGTAATGCTTATCAGCTATCATTTATTTTGACTTCAGTAATTTTAAATTTAGTTACTTTAAATGGTTCCTTAAAAAGAAAATGAAGATGCTACTGTTGAAAGGCTGAAGTTCTTGAATCCTCAAGATTATTGTAATTAACCTTGATGATAAAAGGAATTTCACTTGGATGAAATTATTGCAAACATTTATAATACAATTTTCGTTCAATTTCAAACTTGTTTTATGGATGAGAAATACATGCCTATTTATAGCACATGCACTTCCAATGTTCATATCACTTGCATTTCCAAATTTAACTTCTAAAATTTAAAAGTATCATTTTTGTACGGTATTGATTTTATGCTAACTTTAGAGCCTTTATCTTGCCAAATTATTTTCTTACTAACAAGAATAGATGCTTGGCATCTAATGGCAATTTGATATTATTTTATCAGGTGCGTAAAAGAAGTGGTATATCTGATACAACATTTCCAGGGGTTCCAGTTTTTCAGGTATGTATCACAATCATTCTCTTGAAAATTTTATAATAACTTGACAAAATAGGCCATTTTGCACACTTCTTTGATTGAAACATGTATTTAAACACAAACTATGGTGCTATTTCTTGAGTCAAATCTATTATCTTTCATGCTTCTTTTTGTCCCATGGCGGAGATGAGGATGTTGCGGTTAGAATTCCGAACGAGGTTATTCGAAGTCGGTTAGGCATGGCACCTGTGGAAGATAAGCTTCGGGAAGCTTAGGCTAAGGTGGTTTAGCCATGTGAGACGGCGGAATGTGGACGCTCTAGTGCGTAGATGCGAGAGACTTACTTTGGTAGGGGGTGTAGGGGAAGGAGTTGACCTAGGAAGACTTGAAATGAGGTAATTAGACATGACTTAGGACTTCTTGCCGTTACTGAGGAGATGACCTTAGATAGGAGTGTTTGGAGAGATAGGATTAGAGTAGATGGGTAGGTGTCTTGAGCCTGGGGGGTTGTTGTTGTGTGCCTTGTAACCCTTTTATGCTTGGATTTGCCATTTGATTGCAATACTCTCGTATCATAACTTCACTTTATTTACTTTAGTCTTTACTCTAATTGCTTGGTGCTTGGTTTGAGTTGTACCTGGGCCTTCCTTGCCTTTTGAATCTATAGTGATCCATTTTATGTGCGGCTCGAGCTGGGGGTCTCATGGAAACAACCTCTCTACTTTCGGGTAGGAGCACGTTCTGCGTACACACACCCTCCCCAAACCCTACTTTCGTGGGATTCAACTGGGTTGCTGTTGCTGTTGTTGCTCCTTTTTGTCCCAATATTGGTGACACCTTTGAATTAACACACTTCTTAAGAAAATGGAAATTGTGCAATTGAGATTTATTTTAGGAGAGAAATAACACCATGCATATAATTATTTCCTTAAAATGGAATGAGTTATAATTTTGGGACAAGCATAGAGGATTGGTATGAAGATAATTTTGGGACAATCAAGTGTGTGCATTTATTAGGTTCAAAAGCTGACTTATCTCAAAACTAAAGGTAAACAGATTTTAAGAAACTGAGGGAAGGCATATTGAGGAACTCAACAATGTGGGTCATGGCAGCACTTGATCTCTTGTTCCTAAGCCTGTCGCACTCAGCCAAGCTAATGGCGTGGCAGAGTGGCTTAGCAACCTGCAGATGTAGTTGGATTATGCTTTTTGTAACTTTAGTGTGATCTGGCTCATTTTGTGAATTTGAAAGACATTCCTCTAAGTGGGAAAGTTCTTGTTTGATCATGGCGGAAGTTCTTGGGTTTTATGTTTGAATCAACAGCAAAAACAAACCCAATAAAGTCCCACAAAGTGTAGGGTTTGGGGAGGGTGTAGACCTTACCCCTAGTCGAAAATAGAGAGACCATTTTCAAGAGACCCACCGCTTAAGCACAGACAGAGTAAACCAATAAAGTACACAACTACACACAAACTCACAAACAAAGTTAGAACAAAGAGCAAATTAAGGGCAAAGAAAGCACACAGAGACATGAAATACACAAATTGACAATAGTAACTAGACCCTAAGCACAAAGGGCACACAAAGACAAGAGGAAAAGTGCTCCTGTGAAACTAACAACTAAGGCCCAAAAGCCTACTACTAGGGATGGACAAACAGGTCTTGGAACCGCGGGTTGGAATTGAAACACATGGGTTGGGGTGAGTTAGGGCCAGAACCGAAATGCTAACTTAAAAAGCAGGGCTGGGCTGGGCGTCTTATAATGCAAAAAGAGACGGGTCAGTTCCATACATCGCAATGTGGACTCAAATAATTTAGTGTTGGTTGTGTGCTTGTGTTCTTTGTTATTGAAGGATATTAATCTTGTACTCTTGTTATTTTTATTGATGATTGTTTTTTGTGTGCTAACTTGAAACTAGTTTTATTAAGGTAATGGTATTTTGTCCTTTAAAATGTGATTATGTTTAATGACACGCATGACGCACCCTCACACATACACACAATTTGTCTCGAATTAATTGTAACATTTTGGCTTGTTGACCAACTTATCGACTAGTCCCTTCAATGACTCGACATGTTGACATGACAACCATGGTAGTCTCAAGGCATTTTAATGCTCTCACTTGTACAATACAATTTCGTAGCCATGTGCTTGTGGCCTTCTTTTTCCTCTTTCTTTCTTTCTTTCTTTTGGAAGTCACCCTTTCATTGAAGAAAATGTTGTTCAGAGTGCTTTATTGGTCATCTTCTGGTGATTATAGTGGGGAGCTGACCATGGCACTGTGCAAAAGCACGGTATATGGGGACCACCCAAACACCATAGAAGTTTTCCAATGTCAATGAATTGAAACATTAGAAATTTAAGGATTGTTCTAGAATTTGTCACAAGGGTTGTTGCAGGACATCATTTCGTAGTGAATTAGTTACCACACTCAAGATTCACTAGCTTAGAGTTTATCTGGCATAGCGATGCATTTACTTCATGCCATGAACCTCAAATCAATATGAATATGAAAAAAGTTTCTCCTTAATTTCTGCACAAGTTTTGTATCATGTTCTCAGCTCAGACATCTTTTTAACGTGTTTTTAACTCTCATTATATTATTGATTGCAGTCAAATAGCTTAGTCCTGAGGAAAGAGAACACAAGATATCGTCCATTTTTCTTTAGAAAGGTGAGTTGACTACTTGACTCTAGTTTTCTGCTTATATGATTTAATCTCTTTTTTTTATATTTCCAACATTTCCGATGGAGCCAAATATTTACTATTCTTTGGCATTGGGTTATGCTGGAATAAAGCAAAATGACTCTTTAAACTGTCTGCACTTCTTTAAATAGTGAAGTAGCAGGTAGCCAATGCAACTTTCAACGCCCAACATGGGTCATTTGGAAACAACCGCATTATGTTTTAAACATAGGGGTCAAGTTGCATACCTGATTACCTGTGGTGCTTGAGCCGAGGGTCTCTTTAGAAATAATCTCTCTACTTTTGAGTAGGGGTAAAGTCTGCATACACACACCCTCCCTAGACCATACTCTTGTGGGATTCAACTGGGTTGTTATTTATTTTAATATTGTGCAGGAGGACCTGGAGAAGTCTCTTTCCAGAGCTTCCAGAGAGCAGAATATACTGAATCCTGCATTAAAAGGAGATATTCAGGTGCTACATTTTTTTTAAAAAACTTTTCCTATTCCCCAAAAATTTAGGTTTGAGCTATCATGAAAACCCATTTTGTTCTGGATGTGCTAGGTTGATGTTCTAGAGGATATAATACAAGGGATGAAGGTAAGGGATTCTTTTATGGTATAATGTTTACATTTAGGGATATGATATCTACTTTAAAAGTGCCTGTGCTTCATTCATATCTCTATAACGTAGAAGCTGATACCATATTTGTAAACAAAATTTACAGGACAGCTCAACATCAGCATGGAACGATGTTGTTTTCATCCCTCCTGGTTTTGATGTTTCCATGAATCCTCCTCGAAGGTGACATCACCACTCACCCGGGCACTGCTTTTGCAGCTCTTGGAAAGAAAGCAGCCACCTTTTTCGTTGGACTCGGACATTACTGGGCAGCTTGTAGTGCTCCATTTCTCTGCCCTTCACAGCAGAGTGTAAGGTTTTGTCTTCTAAAATCTCAAGCTGGATTGGCATTTGTAAAGTAGTGATGATGATATTAACTTTATAAAACATATGTATGCATGCTCATTTGAGGAATACATAATACTTATTAGGTATATACAGAATATTTTTGAGGGAACGTTTATACAAAATATTTATTTACGACTAATACAATACTCGACGTGCATATGTAAAATGAGTACGGAGTATTATTTATTAACGTTTGAATATTCGACGTGCATATGTGAAATGAGTATTATATTACTCGTAAATTAGTATTCGCCGTGGCTGTATGGAAAAATACCGTGCAATCGACTCTGAGTATTGGTTTTTGACCCTTTAAGATTAAAAAATATTAATTAAATACCTCTATAACTTATTGGTGATTTTAAAAATTCACAGTTCTAATTTAGAATATGATCAATATTTAAGGATTAAATTGGCTGACAAACATTTTGGTGAAAAAAAGTAAAGGGCAGTGATGGCCACACTCGCTAAAACACTAAATACACTACGTTACGTAAATACACCTCATGATGTATAGTTATGTTATTATTTAATAATATTATATAGACTTTTTTAAATTAAAACAAACATTATAAATATATATTTAGAATTATCAACCATTTAGTTATTTTGTTACTTTTCAAAAAAAATATATGAGTTTTAGAATTAACTTTAAAATATTTTGAAGTTGTTATTTTAATTATTAATTGATTAAAAATAAAATAACTTTAATTATTCTTAAATTTGATAACCAATACTTTTGTATAACTTTCCATTTCTAAGTATTATACCAATATGTACTTTCCTATTCTAATTTTTTAATCTACATTATTATTTTAAAAAGAAGATTATGTAAGTTTTATAATATTTTTTTAAAAATATATAAAACTTTATATAAAATTTAAAAATACACACCACTTTTTTTATTGCTTTTAAAAAACAAAGTTTTATTTAGAATTTAATAAATGTGCATCGTTTTTACTACTACAATTTTTTTCTAAAAATATCATATCTTATTATTAAAAAGATTTAGATAATTCATACTAATATTTATTGGAAAAATAAATAAAAAACTAAATATTTTAATTCAGAATATAATTTTATCAATATGTTACAAAGTAAGAAATTTAGAATATACTCCCTCCGTCCCATTTAACGCCTGTTTCGATTTACGATGTTTGACTGAAATTATTTTCAAATCATTTTATATGACAAATGGTATATAGTTAAAAAATAAAAATTACATATTAAAATACTACATCAAAAGATCTACAAAACTAGTAGTGACAATAATATTTTATTTTATCAAATTGTTAACAAAAATAGAGAAAGAAAGTGAATAAAGTTTTATCCTGTGAACATGCATTATAATTTGAGACGGAGAGATTATAACAATCCATGTGAAGCACAAGATTAAAAGAGTTTTGAAAGTAGTAGGGTGAAATTAGTATATGAGGTGAATTTAGTATTTTGGTGGGGTGTGACTATCACCACCCAAAAGTAAAAGAATCATTAAATTCTGAAATTATAACTTAAAAAATTTATAATGGGGGAGAAATTGGAGGAATTTTTTGTCAAAAAACTTTAAACCAAATAACTTGTTAGAATTCGAAATTGTAATTTTTGTAATTTAAAAAGCTGCATCAAATTGAAACATTATTGGAGTTAGTTTTCTGGAGTACTAAGGTCTTGTTTTTATCAACTTATTCCTATTACTATTTTTTATTAGAAACAGATCATACCAGATCAAATCAGAAATAGTCTTAAATATAACAATATTTAGATCAAACTAGATCAGATTATATCATAATTTATTTCAATTAGATTAGGTGAAAGAGAACATAACCTAATTTATAGTTCAACTAAGTTCTATTAAGTTGAATGAATTTCAATTGAAAAACTAATATAAGGAAATATAAAATATGTAACATTTCCATGTTAGTATGGAATGAAATAACACTTCCATGTGCCCATACTTCAAATCACTTGTGCGTCACAATAAATTGAATTCAAATCACCTCTTACTTTTCACAAGTACATTTTTCTTATATTGTGTCACTCAATTTGAGAGCTTAAAAATAGACTTGCACAAATTTGGGTCAACTCATCCGGTTCGTCCATCCTGCTTTCATCGTTCCAAAAGGTGGAATCGCCCACCCCAGGCGCCCCCACCCCCTTGCCCGACAGGAATGGTGGATGAAGTAAATCATGGTGACTCAGTCAGCCAAGAACGCTAGACCCGTGCCCACCGCGCACAAGGAGCCTCCTCACCCTTTATGGGATTTTTGGATAGCTCCCACACTGCCGCTTGCGGGACTCGATCTCTGGTCATCGTTCTAAGATTTCACACTCTTGCCCAACTGAGCTGCCCATGCAGGCTCCATCCTGCTTTCATGAATGGTCGAATATGGATAATTATATATATTCGTGTGGATCGAGCCGAGCAGGGCTGCAAAATAATGACAGATTTTGGAGTTGCTTCTCTATGCTAATGCTTATTGACCTATTCTGATAAGTAGTTTAAAACTTATAAACTGCTTATAAGTCAAATATTCTTTTGTGTAGATAAAATGACTTGAATGATATATAACACTTTTGGATATATTCATAATAGATGAGAGATAGTTATGTAAATAATCTGATCAAAACAGGGAAACGAAAAAACTAGCTTAAAAATAAGTAGGTAAGACATACTTATTTTTTCAGGCTTATAAGATAGAGAAACACGTCATCAGCTTACTTGTAAGTTATAAAAAGCTTATAAACAATTTTGAGCAACTTATAAGCTCAGTTATACACCCACTTCATAAAGATTACGGAGTATATATTCATCTCCATCTTGAGAAATTTTTCTAAGATTTTTTTATTTTGTAACATATCCTTGAAAAAATAGACATTCAAAGCTCGTTATTTTTCAATATTTTTTAATTTTACTTGGTTTTTTCTTTTTTATAAAATTTTTTATTTCATTTATTTTTATATCATACAAATAATTTTGAATTTTATACAATTTTATAGAAAAAATTCTAAAAAACACTTTAAAAACAGAAACAAAAAAACAAAGAAATAAAAAAGGAGCGACTTAAGAGTTATTACAATAAAACATTAAGGAAAAAAAGAAAAAAATACATTTATTAACGTTTATGGATAAAATATTAGATGAAATGTCAGCTCCCAGTTATTACAATAAAATATAAGGACCTCCGTTGTTTTTTTGAAAATAGAGAAACCTATAAGTTATTTCAACAAAATTTGCATCACGTTTGAGTACTTTTCTGTCCCGGGTACCATATATATCACCCCTTTTACCATGAGGTAGGAGTAGAATTTGGCATTAACCCATGGAAATGAATGATAGGAAATTAAAGTGGGTACAGGGAAGTTGGGCCGAAGAATTGAAATACAATAAATTGGATGCTCTGAATACTGAAGGGAGTCAATTTCATGACAGCACGGAAAACGTCGGGCGTTGGCGTGTGATGATGGGTTGGTTTTTGGTTTTCGGGCGATCAATGATTCATTGAATCATCGTGGTTTTGTTCTTGTACGGATCCGGATTTTTAATTTCAAATCCCTCTATTTGGTTCACTCACAGACAAGGCCGGATCCAAAGGGGCCGGGCGGAGAGGGCAACTCGCTCTTGAATTTTTGGGTAAATACTTAAATGACATCATTTTAATTGGATTTTTAAAACAAATTCAACATTCTAGTGTTTTGATCAAAATTTGTTTTGTTAAGTTAATGTTGGAGGGTAGAGGCCGACTTATTCCGGCATATTCTTTTAGATTGGAAAAATTTACTTTTAACCTTTTCGAACTCTTAGAGCATGGGCAGTGGCGTGTCAAAGTCATTGCCACGCATGCCAGCTCAGCATTCTTACTCCTTTTCCATGGCAAAGCATTGCAATTTTCCTTGCAAATCGTGGCAAGTGCGAGCCAGCCACTATTTTTCCTTTTTTTTGTAAAAAAAAAGAAGTTTTTTATTTTATTGAGATTAGAGGCACTGTTTTACATTTTTAACCCTTTCTTTTTTTCTGTACAATTTATTTTCTTTTTCAAAACAATCTAACCTTTATTTGAGACTAAAAAATACTCCCTTCGTCCCAGAGTATTTGTCCACTTTCATTTTTACACACCATCTAATACACTTCTTTAATCCATTTTATCTTGTAATTTGTATATTAAAAAAATATAGAAATTATATATTAATAATCTATATGTTAAGACAAATCAAACAAGATCACACATGACTATATTTAGGCTTACACATTGAGAGAATTTGATGAGTCAAAGTGCTTAGATGAACAGTTCCAAAAGTTAAAAGTGGACGAATATAGCGGGACGGAGGGAGTATACATTTTTAAACATTAATGTTTTATGTGAAATTATATAATTTAAATTAAAAAAAAATTAAAATTTAATTTTCTCTTTGTACAATTAAAACTTTACAAAAAAATGCAATAATTTATAATAAAAAAGCACGCATTAGCTAATTAAAATATGTCTAAAATGTTAACATTTCCAAAAAAGATAATTTTTTATTAAAATAAGGTAAGTAAAATAATTTGTGAAATTAAAATATATTAAAAAGATATAAAAATGATAAAAATGGTGACTTGCCACTGCAAGACATGCCACTCCACTCATGTACTACATGCTGACTGGACAGATTTTGATTGGCTAAAATACTCCATGCCATCGTGTGGCATTCCATTTCTTACTTGCCATTGCCCATGCTCTTAATTCTTTCTAATTACTTCCAATTTCTTTTATGGTATGTTTGGGAACATGGATTTGGATTTCAAATCCGGATTTGGCCTAAATTCCATGTTTGGGAAACTTAAGCATTTTAAATTTGGATTTGAATCAAATTCTTTATATTCAAAACAAAGCTTAATTTGAAATCCATGCACCTCCCCTTGTCATTTGAAATTCTGAATTTCAAATTTTGGAATTGAAATGCATGAATTGAAATGAAATGCTAGTTGCCAAACACTACCTTAACGAATTCAAAAAGGTATTTGCAATTTTGCATATGATAATTATACATTAACATTAATACATTATATATCTAAATTTATAACATATCATCTCAAACACATAGAATGGTGAATTATCTTTTTATCTAAAATTAGAATTTTCTTACATATTTATTTGGGTGAATGAGTAATGATTATTGAGTGACTTTTAAAAATATAAATTCTTCCAATACCTTTTAACTTTTTCTAATTTCTTCTAATATCCAACTTTAAAAATTCAACCCAAAAGAACAAGGTCTTAAACCAAACCAAATCAGAGTGTTAGCACAATTGGTTAAATTTCAAACATCGTGTGTGAAAGTATATAAATTGGTACAAACCTAGCTAATTGATTTCATTATTCATAAAGAAGGTATATATACAAATGCAAACAAAACTCTAGTCTTGGCCCATTTACGCTATAACATAAGCTCATTTACATAAACCCACTAATACTCCCCATCATGTTAGTACATACTCCCTCCGTCTCGAAATGTTTGCAACGTTTGCTTTTTCGGTGTTGCAGGAACTTTTGTTTATTTCGACATTTTCATTGGTTATTTGATAAAATAAATTATTCTTGACACCTCTTATTTCGAAGAACTTTTCATGTAGTTTTTTGATATGTAAATTTTATTTTTTATTTCTATACCAATATGTAAATAAAATGAATTGAAAAAACTTGATATTTTGCCTCGAGAATATAAGTGTGGCAAATATTTAGGGACGGAGGGAGTAAAAATTAGTACTTGAACTATAGTAAAACAAATGTGGGGCTAAGAAGACCTTTAGTAAAGATATCTACAATTTGAAAACGGTCGGGAGCATAGGTAGTAGAAACCTCGCAGAACTAGGCACATTCGTGAACGATGTAGCAATCTAATGGTGCATTTTTAAAGTCCAGAATGAAGACATGTACTTTATAATGATTTGGAGGGTAAAACACACACTTTATTAAAAGTATAGAGAATAATAGTACTCCCTTCGTTCCAAATTATTTGCCACATTTGTATTCCCGAGGCAAAATATTAAGTTTTTTCAATTCATTTTATTTACATATTGGTAAAGAAATAAAAAATAAAATTTATATATAAAAAAACTATATGAAAAGTTCTTCGAAATAAGAGGTGTCAAGAATATTTTATTTTATCAAATAATCAATGAAAACGTTGAAATAAACAAAAGTTCCCGACACTGCTGAAAAAGCAAATGTTGTGAATATTTAGGGACGGAGGGAGTATGATTTTGAAAGTTAAGGTAGAAAACATGTACTTTATAAAAAGTTTGGGAGTGAATGATGCAAAAAAGCTATGGAGTATATTTTAAAGAGAAAGAATAAAATATGAGTAAAACATATGATAAGAATTAAAATAGGATTTTCACATTGTAATAGTGTAATAGTTCTATTATAGGATAAACACATGTCACTCAAATACTTTTGGGAAAATGTTGGTGCATTCATGTGGTGTACAAAATGAGGTACAAATTTTTGAGGTACAAAAAATATTATCCAACTTATAATGTCAATAATGCTAATATATAATACCAAAAATCATAATAAAATTCAATGTACAATATCACATTGCTTAGTATAATAATTCCATTTTAAAAATAAAAATATGTTACTCATCTTTTGAAACAAAAAACTAGTATTCCGTATATTTTACTTTTGAAAATAAATTAGCATGAAATGTTTTTTTATCCAAATGAAAACTGAATAAGGTGGGCCTCAAATCTTGGTGGCTCGCAATATTCGACTTTATGCAAAAAGAAATACTTTGAATTTACACCCGATAATGGCTAGTGCATCTTCTAAAGCTATACGTACAATATAAAGTAGAACCCTCAAATCACATCGTATCGTACATTAATAAAATAAACTTCAAATCACAAAAAAATAAAAATTAAAAATTAAAAAATAATCAGGAATGTACGTAATAGAGACAAAAAAAATATGTAAAGAATATATCTTATTAAACCATCCAATTGGAGACAAAAGAGACTCCTCACTCTCTTTGTGTAGTAGTGCTAAGCTGGCAATAGCTTTAGCCCTTTTCCACCTCTACTTGTAATTCATCCATATCACATACCAATCACACACCCCACCCACCCACTCATAGTTTGAGGGTAGCCTCACAAGCATTATATTTCGCCCTATCCTTTAGGGGTTGCATGTCCTATATATTTGTATTCCCTATATCCTCCAAGCAATTTGTATACTCCCTTACACTATATTGTGTTACCCACTATTTCTTTGTTTGTTGATACTCATTTTGGATGTCATAATAATATTAGAGTTTTATGATTCTTTGTTAGATTTGGAATTGAGCTTCAGTCCCTCGTGCTCTTGGTGATTTTAGTGTCATCAAACTATTTTAAGTAATTGGATTTACTTAATGACTGATCATTAAATAATTAAAATTATTAAACGAGTTAGGAAGTGTGGAGTACATGCTCGTTCGATAATATTATTATTTGAAATAAAATGGTTGACTTATTCAAATAGGTAATTGCCTATTTTAATAGGTTAAAATGAACTATAAGGTTTTATTCGAATAGCTATTTGCCTATTCGAACAGGTCAGGACGTGAATGGTCGTCATATTCGAATAGGCCATTGCCTAAAACATTCGAATAGATCACTGAACAAATGCATATATCAAGACCTTAAAAAATGGCCTAACTATCTGAATCGACATGTTTGCTATTCGAATAATTAATGAACAGATACAATTTTTCAGTTTAAAGTACAAAGCCAATCAGTATTTTGCCTATAAATAGCCATATGTATGGCCTATTTCTTCAAAAAACAAGAACAAATCCAAATGACTATAGTCTTCTTCTAGAAAGCCTTCATACTCGTTCTTTAACGTTTACATCTTATCTGATTAGAGTATTTTTAGTTTGCCTGCAATACTTTTAGTCTGTAAGTGACTCTTTACTACAAAAAAAGGAGGCAATACCGACAAGGGTCGATATGTCGCTAAAGGCTGAATATCTGTCGCTACTTACTTTTACCGACAGATAATTGTCTGTCGCTAGGCTATCGCTAAAAACTCCGTCAGTAAAAGTATTACCGACAGATAAAATATATTGTCGCTAAAATAATGTAATAGCGACACACCAAAGATGTTGCTAAAAAAGAAAGAATTGAAGTACCGACAAAACATATATGTCGCTAAAACATGGATTACCGAAAAAAAATAGTGAGGATAAATCCTTCTTTTTCAATCGGTAATACCTTAATTTTACCAACATAAACATTTATTATAACTGTCATTAAAAGTTGAATTACCAAAAGAAATTTGTGTGAGTAAAACATACATTTTATTCTGTCGGTAATAATTTATTTTGACCAATATTAACATTTATTATAACTATTACTAATACCATGTTTCACACCACCATGTTCTATTTAAGTGATATCAAAGAATTTCATTAACAAATAAAAAATAATACTTATACTTGTATTAACAACAATACACAATATGATAACATTTCAAAAGATTACATCTAACCCATTTACCAGAAAGTAAACCAACATCTCAAAATTAGTTCATCATTTGCGTACGTTTCAAGCTAAAGTATTAATAGTCAAAGTGAACTAAATTAAAATACACATTGATATGGAAGATATAGTCCAAAGTTGTAATGCTCGTCATTGTCTACATCTTCAAGTTCATCGCTCTTAGCTTCATCATCTTTATTTCATCGATCTTCATCATGACTTTTCTCAGTGGTTGTATTACCATCAATTGTAAGATCATCGATTTCAGATTGATTAGCCGTTGAACTCTATGCAAAAAAAATTATAAGCACATGATAACGTAATCACAAATTTTGCACCAAATTTACCTTACACTCATGCTAGGTGGCATAACTTTAAACTATATAATGAATAAACAAAAATCAAATAAAATATGGGTAGTAAGCAATGATAAATAGAGCCTAACCATTGCTTTAAAGTTTGAACTTAGATTTCTAATACAGAAATATAGTGGAATGAATGTATGGAAGAACTTAGGGGCCAAGAATCAAATACTCCGTAACTCTCTTATTAAAGTGCCATAAACCCCTAACACATGTTACTACTTATTACCACTCCCATCACCAATGAAATTAAGAAAATTTCACCAACATGGATAAACAATGTCTCCTAAACAATGTTAACATTATTCTACCAAGGAACAATCGCATTCAAGAAAGTTCACCAAATGGGATGATGGGCTGTGATCAATGTAAGCAATGTCCAGTCATTAACAAAATCAAATCTAAGCAATCTCACCAATATGGATAAACAATGTGTCGTAATCGATGTAAGCAAATCCAGTCATTAACCAAATCAAATTCAAGAAATTTTACCAATAGGGGTAGACAATTTGCCCTAATTGATGTTAGCAATATTCAACCTTAACTTAACAAATTCAAGTAATTTAACCAAAAGGGATAGACAATCATCCCTAATTGAGCTAGTAACACAATGCCAGTAACCAATCAAATTCATGGTAAATGACCTGCTAACACAATGCTTATTGAGACCCTTGTATACATACCATGATACCTTGCAAGGTAAATGACTAAAAGCGGCCTCCACTGCCTTCTTCAGAGCCGCCACCATCCCATTCCCAGGCACTTCAATCTCTATCACCAAAATCACAAACTCAAAAAAAAAACATCAATATCTACAGACAAGCCAATCTCACATTAATCCACAAATTGATTGATTGAGAAAACATAAATCATATTCGACGAGTACCTAAAAAAGATCCGTCTAATTTGAGAATGGTGAGCTTGAGCGGCCACGAGGGAATCATGCTGTACGACAAACTGTTCGAGTTTTCATGGCACAGGAACTGAACCGGACACGACAACAACCCGTCCGGAATCACTAAGTTCGGAATCGGACCTCCATGCCTCGCTGCTAGCCGATCGACGATTAAGGCCAACCACCGGCCCTGCTCTGTGTCCAGATGCTAATCGAAGAAGCCAGCCCACCTCCGGCAGTTCTGGTTGAAGAAAAAGTCGTCGTCGGTTGCTCTGCTGCGTCGTCGTTCTCCGTTCGCGTCTCCAGCCCCTGGTCCGATTCCGCCTCTCGTTCCCCTCGTCTGCCCTAACTGCCTTCCTCCTCTATAACATTAAGACTTCTCAATATTGTAAATTGGCCCCATATTAGTAATGTACTCAGTATTTGCTAATTAGTCATTTCCTTATAATTAGACTCTAAAACCAAATCATATACACAAATTCATCCAAAATCATTTGATCCTCTAACAAAGACTAAAGTTATTTTTTATTCTCTAAACAATGTGAAGATAACGGGTGGTGAATCTGTGAGAGATCTTACGTGTAAGTTCTCAAAACTATAAAATTCGAAGGTCAGAACTTCTATCGTTGGTAAAAGAAGATGCACTTCTTTCTCACCATATTGAGGTTGTATATGTATTGAGCACACTGATGCATGAGATAATGGAGGAAGAAAGGCTGTGCAAATAGGAGAATGATGACTACATTTTCCGTGGTCACATTCTCAATAGTATGTCTTATTCTCTCTTTGATAACTAGCAGAATGTCAAATATGCAAATTTGCTCCGTGAAAGTCTTGAACAAAAATATATAGCTGAGGATGCTTCTAGCAAAAAGTTCATTGTTAGTAATTTTAACAATTACTAGATGGTCAACTCACGACTGATCATGGACCATTGGACCAATACAATAAATTGTTGAGTATCCCAAGACAATATACTCGGCATAACATGCAGTAAGATGAGTCCATCTTGTCTGGTTTACGAATTTTAAAAGTCATCATATTCTGCACGTTGATCAAAAGAATAATTCATTTTGGGACAAAAAGAGTATATTTAAAACTACATCAAAATATCTACAAAATTAGAGGTGGGAGGACTCTTTTATAAAATAGACAATGAAAATAAGTTAACAAAATGAATAAAATTTGACTAAGTAAATTAGGAACTGTAACACCCGCCTTCCGTGAACCCGGTTCACCCGCGACCCAACGGACCGGTAGGGTTACATGGGCGGTCCGAGAACCGTCCGTTACAAAAACATTAGTGATTATTTAATGTGAAAACGGTTACGTTTGATTTATGGGATATTAAAGACTATTTATGATGAAAACGTTTGTTTTACTTGGTGAAATAAATGTTAGGAGTTATTCCCAAAAACGTGACTCATATAAATGTAGAGTAAAAGCGGAAGTAAATAAATGAGTAAAACGACAAATGGTGGGTTCATGCCCAAATGAATAATTAATTTAATGTACTAAGTTATTGAACTTGTCCATGCGCCGCCCATCTTCCACCATCACTGTCCTCCAGGGTTAGCACCCGCACCGTCATGTCTACCTGCGTGTAGCAAAAACAACTACACGCTCAGCAAAAGCTGAGGAGTGAATCTAACAAAAGAACATTTGGTGATAACCCATATGGCCATACATATTAATACCTGTACCTAACGTACGGTAAACCACATGTTTACTAACTGGTTAATTTACACTTGTTGGGGTACTATTACACATAACAAAATGATGTACTACCACATTGAACACAAACATGATGGGGAACATACATGATGTTGACAACCACACTGAATGTTGACGCGACATGGAACATACATGATGACTATATGACTTGATGCATGACTTATGCTATTAGGGACACCCCTGACTTAGTCTCACTTGACAGGATCACCCTTGCACTCCGGTAATGACCCGGGCTCGACAAACGTCGCAAGTGAACTAGCAAAAACCGGGTGGTAGCCGTAACCTGACTACCATGTACGTACACAAAGCCCACTTGATGAAAACCCGTTGGATCCCGAGGGTTCCTAGACGGGCCCGCTGTAGTAGGCACACAAAGTCCTCCCTACAACGGTATGCACATGATGAAAACCTAGGACATGCGTCTCGGATGAACATGATGAATACATGTGTTCAGATTGGACATGATGAATGCTTGATGCCAATAATATATCATATAATTAACATACATGCTGAAGATTAACATTTAATGCAAACACACAATCAGATTCTGAGTCAAAATGGTCAACGGGGCTCGTTCTACAAACTGCTCGAAATACTGCTCGCAGAACGGTCGACCGTTCCCTACCGGCGGTCGACCGTGGGCTACGGTCTGGGGTCTGGGTCACGAACGGTCCACCGTGGTCTTCTGTCGAGGCCGGCGGTCGACCGTCACGGTAGTGACCGTCGGGATGGCTGAGTGAAACGGTCCACCGTCTGTGGCGGCGGTCGACCGTCTCGATGACAGTTTTCTGTCTTTGGCTCTGTTTTGATCCGTTTTACAAACTTAACACCTTGATTCTTTTTAAAACAATAATGTAAACATTGATAAATATATTTCTAGTGATTCCTAGGCCAATATGTACAAGTTTTACGTAGTGAACGTTTTGATGGCTAACCTACGAACATGCATAGATTCTACGTAGGTTGCGTACGATATTCCTATGAATATAACAACATAGATTATAACTTGATGTTCTAGAATTAGAGGGAACAACTACTCACCTCTAATCGAAGGGGTTGGCGGATTGATGAAACAAGATGAACGAATGGTTGACAACGTTGAATGACGAACGAATGAATGAACGACTCCTCGCGTAGCCCTCCTTCTCTTCTACCTCATCGTCTTCTCGCCGGAATCCTCCTTGGGCTCGCCTGTTGCCTTTGCCGAATTGGGGAAGAAGTTGGAGAGTGATGATAGAGACTTGATGGTGGAGTAACAATGGGGGTTACAAAAATGGTGGAGAACATGAATGGGGAAGGGGGTTTTAAAATGAAAACAAATGATGAGAATTAATGGGGAAATTAGTAGAGAATTAAGTTGAGAATGAATGAGGGGGTTATGGGAAATAAAAGGGTTGTGTGTGGCGTATGGTTTGCATGGGAGTTACTTCCCATAAATTCTACTCCGTTGTGTAAAATCTGACTTGAACAGTACACGGTTTTTCCCCTGAACGGGTCCAAATTGAGATCAGGTTGTGTTTTTGGAATCAGACAGTCAAAACGGATTTAATGACATGTTCAAATAATTTTTCTAAGAACTTTATTTTTCAAACATTCGAGTCCACCCCAATCTTTAATTAATTTATTTAATTAATGTTGAGAGGTCCGTTATTAAAACATCCTTTTTATTTTTAAAACAACATTAACTTTTGAAGTCCATTTAATGAGATCAAAATCTCAATATTTAATATTTAAAACAATGAGTCTCAATAAATAAATAATATTTATTTATTTAAAACTAGGCCGGTTTGTAGGGCGTTACAGGAACGAGAAGATTATTTTTGTACAGAAGTAATATTTAATCATGGTAACCGTATGTAACAGTTTTGACTAAAAATTTTAAACTATAAAGAATGTTTTAAGAGAAATTTAACTAAATAGGACTAAAACATAATCACTTTCCCAATATAGTACCATATGTTTTTATTTCCCAATGTAGGACATTTGGTCATTATGAAGTAGTCATTATTTAAGTAAATGTCCATCATTACTGGACATTATTCCTCCCACTAGGTCATTATTAAGTCCTATTCAGGGAATAAAAAAGTTTAAGTCCTACATTAGGAAAGTCTTTATGTTTTAGTCCTATTTAGGACAAATTTCACATGTTTTTTAACTTGGACGGATGGAGTATTTGGTTTAGAACTTTAAACTTTAAAGTAGAGGGGATGCATTGAAATTTATTTTAAGAAAAGAAAAACGATATGATAAAGAAAACCACATACTCAATTCTCAAAGAAAGATATGAAGATGTATTAAAAAAATGAAGTATAAAATTTTATTTTGAAAAGAGTGTAACAAAAAAAGTGTGAAATTCTTTTAAGAACGTAGAGAGATAGTACAGTAATAGTAATAATAATAGTAATAATAATAATAATAATAATAATAATAATAATAATAATAATTGTAAAAATAAAAATAGGGAGTAATTATATAGAAACAAGGCATATACTTACTCCGTCCCTGAAAACCTTTCTCCTTTTTTTTTTCATCCGTCCCAAAAAATACTTCTTATTTCTATTAAAAAATCACTTTTACCCCTTACTTTTTCATACTCTATCTATCACATCATACCTTTTTACAAATAAACTACCCGTCAAATCCTATTTTTACCCATCACATCAAAGGACATTTTTGAAATTCAATACCAAAATACACTTTCCATAAATCTCTTCAAAATCAAAACATCTCATGTTTAAAGGAAGGGAGGGAGTACAATACAATTAATTAATGAATTAATCTAACAATAATTACCCATCCTTCATACTCCAGTTCATAGCCTCCCACCTCAACTCCCTCCTATATAAACTTCCCACCCACTTCGATCCCTCATCATCCAAAACCCCACAAAGGAAAAAACAGCCTCTCTAGCTTCCCATTTCTTCTCCCCCACCATATAATTGTCCTAAAGAAAAAAAAACATGGGCACTCCCAAAAGCATAGGGCACCCCTCCAAAACCCTTCTTCTGCTCTTCCCTGCAATAATAATCTTGCTTGTTGGCCTTTCCATGGTTTGCCATGCCGGGAATTTCGACCAGGATTTCGACTTGACTTGGGGCGAAAACCGGGCCAAGATTTTGGAGAAAGGGCAGCTCCTCACCCTGTCTCTGGACAGGGGCTCTGGCTCCGGTTTTCAGTCCAAGAAAGAGTATCTCTTTGGTAGGATTGATATGCAGGTCAAGCTTGTTGCTGGCAACTCTGCTGGCACTGTCACTGCATACTATGTACTCTCTCTTCGTTTTGACTTTTATGTGATTAAAAAAAGGAGATATTTTTGCGTTGACTTTCCGAAATTACCCGGCCTCGATGAGATGTTTTTAATGAATTTTTGTTTTGGGTTGGTTGGTTTGTTTGAGCATGCAGCTATCATCACAAGGGCCAACACATGATGAAATAGACTTTGAGTTTTTGGGGAATGTGAGTGGTGAGCCATACACTCTGCACACAAATGTTTTTGCACAAGGGAAAGGTGGGAGGGAACAGCAGTTCAAACTCTGGTTTGATCCAACCACCAACTTCCACACTTACTCCATCAATTGGAAGCCCCAACACATCATGTAAGCTCATTTTTATACCAAATTTTGATTTTTCCTTACTTCAATTCTTACACCATTCAAAAAAAGGAAAAGAAAGAAATTTTTCTCAGGATGGAAATAAAAAAAAGTATTTCTTTCTCCGTCCATTAAAACTTTTCAACTTTTACATCTTACATGTCTCATAAAACATTTCAATTTGGCCTTAATGGACAGCCCTTTCTTTTCTTAAATTTAACCGAAACAATCTTAGCTACCTTATATGCCCTACCCATTTTAACATTTCTTAAGCCGGACTTGTTTCAATTATCGCCGTTTCACTTTGGTTAAAATCAACAACTTCACCTTCCAAAAGTTAAAACACGAAATGTTTTACGTGACGGAAGATGTATTTTTTTTCTCTCTGACCAAATAAAAAATTACTCTATATTTCATATCATTTTCTTTGTTTTCTTTTTCACTTTTTTTTTTGAACCAAATGTAACAATTTTTTGTTTGGAGTGGAGTTCCGAGCAATACTTATCCTTTCTGAATTTTTACGGCGGCAATAGTTATCCTTTTCTAATATTTACGGTGGCAATACTTATCCTTAGCGCCACGCAAGCTCTGGAACGTTTGACTTCAGAAGACACTTAATTACTGGTTTACCGTTTTACCCTTTTAACCTTTTTCTCCTCTTTCTCATTTTTAATTTGTACCCCGGTCCCCGGCCCTCATTATTTTTGTCTCTTTAGATTACGGAAAATAGCAGTTTTAAAAAAAAAAAGAAAAAAATGTTCATGGAGAGATATTAAAGGATCCTTATAAAACCTTAAAGGTGATTAGTGCAATGAATCCAAACGAATGATAGTGTTATATTTGGTCTTATTTGTATGATTCACCCTAATTCTAACTTTATTTTTAATTTTTTATAACATCAATATCACTAAAGATTTATCACACGCAATCTTTTTCTTCATTTGGATTAAAAAATACGGAGTAAAAGTGGTTTAATTATAATGGGTAAAATTTAAGAAATAACTTAAATAGAGTAAAATATGGCTCTTATACTCAAAATAAGAATTGACATATTTTTGTCTTCAAAAATTAAAAATTTATGTTGTGATAATGTGGCTTTCTATACTAGCTAGTATTCTTTATTATTGTTTGGTATTATATACTCCCTCTGTCCCCCATAGATCTTCCCAATAGCCCTTTTTCTTTGTCCACAATAGATCTTCTCATTTCGTTTTTTAACAATTAAAGTACCACAACTACCCCCACTTACTTTATTTATTACACCTCACCCACCTCATTTAATACACTCCACCCATTTTTCATTAAGGTTATTATGGTAAACTTTCACTTTTTTTCAACTCTTCTTAAAAACCACCAAAAGTCAAAATGAGAACATCTTAGGGGGAGGGAGTATTAAAGATGCACTTCCATGATTCTAATGTTCACATATGAATGAAATGTGAACTTTCTCACACTTTTCATGTGCTGATATTGAGATTTTTTTATTTTTTCAAAGAGCCTAATTTATCAATGATATTTATATACTCAGGTCTATAAAATGAATAAGGACCTAGTGACTATTCAAGAATTTTTCAATATATCAATATTGAAAAATTCCTGTTAATAGGAGTAAAAGAGAAAATACTAAAATAGAAACTTCATTTTTTTATACCAAAATAGACATTTACATTGTGGTAATGTGACTCTATATATCGACATTTCACAATACTTTTTGATAATGTATGTATAATCATGGTTAATACTACAAATCATTTTAATTTATATTTTGAGAACAGAAAACATAAAATTATTATTTTTTCTATGTCTTACTCCTACTTTACTATTTTCTCCTTAATATTAACTTTATTGATAACTTTTTATCTATTTTCTCATTGTAAAAAAATGTTGCAGCTTCATGGTGGACAACACGCCGATAAGGGTGTTCAGGAACGCGGAGTCAGTCGGGGTCCCGTTCCCGAAGAGCCAGCCGATGAAGATCTACTCGAGCCTGTGGAACGCGGACGACTGGGCCACGAGGGGGGGCCTGGTCAAGACCGACTGGTCCCACGCCCCCTTCACCGCCTACTACAGAAACTTCAACGCCCAGCCCCTCACCGCCGCCGTCGGCTACGGCGGCGGAAGCGGCGGAGCAGGGTGGCAGAACCAGGCGGAGCTGGACGCGTACGGGCGGAGGAGGCTGAGGTGGGTCCAGAAGAACTTCATGATCTATAATTACTGCACCGACTCCAAACGCTTCCCTCAGGGCTTCCCTCCCGAGTGCTAGCTGCGCTGATACTACACATATATATTAATTACTCCGTGTATTATTCAAACGTCACAAATAAATAAATCTCTCTTTTACATGTTGTTCACTTTCATCCCACATCTTGTTGTTCTTATATAATGTAATGCACTCTCTTTCCGTCCCAAAAAAATTACACAGTTCACTGTTCAAAAACTTCATTGTTATAAAAAATTTCACTGTTCAAAAGTTGCAATAATTTTAATTATTTGTACTTTTTTTTGTTAATTTGATAAAATAAAATATCCTTGTCACCACTTGCTTTAAAAAAATTTTCATCTACTTTTCAAGTATGTAAACTATACTCCCTGCATTCCAAATTTGATTACAAATAAAAATTTACGAGACAATTTTTCATTTCTTTTGAAATTATTTTATCTAAAAATTGCTATAGTGATAAAAATTAAAAATTATATTTAAAAAAATTACGTTAAAAGCTCTACAAAACGAAATGTGATAAGAATATTTTATTTTATCAAATACTCCTTCCGTCCCTGAGTGTTTGTCCACTTTCATTTTTGCACACCATCCAATGCACTTCTTTAATCCATTTTATCTTGTAATTTGTATATTAAAAATTTTTAAAAATTACATATTAATAATCTATATGTTAAGCCGAATCAAATAAGATCACACATGATTATTTTTAGGCTTACACATTGAGAGAATTTGATAAGTCAAAGTGCTTAAATGAACAGTTCCAAAAGTCAAAAGTGGACAAACACTCAGGGACGGATCAAGTAATCAATAAAAACATAAAAATAAACAAAATTTATCTCGAGGTGAGAATGAAAAAAAATTATGATTAAAATTGGGACGGGGGAGTATTTTTTACTCCCTCATATCCTAAAAATTCTTTACGTTTCAATTCTTTTGTCGAATAGTGACAATCTTTAACTACAAATTGAGAGAGAAATATATTGAATTATAAATAAATTCAACAATATAATTAGAATCTTTTGGACCCTATTACTTAGATTGTCCCAAATTTTGAACAAGAAAAACAAACAAGACTATGGGAAAAGAAGAAAGAAATGAGTGGAATGGCGTGTTTCCAATTGTCTTCACATGCACCACCTTTAATCAATCATTGGTGTGCAGAATTAATTCTGTTTATGTGTTTCATTATCGAAAGGTGCATTTTGGCCTTTTCCATTTCTCTCATGTCATCATCCTATCGTCGGTAGTACTTAGTAGTAGTAGTACGTGCTGGTTCATATATACACACCAAAAAAGACCCAATGCATCCAATTCTGAACCGGTGGAACCGGACCCGAGCCATTACAAGTTCTGTTTTTTTAAATTTGAATCCGAAAAAATTGACATTTAAAACATACTTATTACGGAGTATGATTATACACTCTCTCGGTTCTTAATTTGATTACAAATTGATACATTAATAAGAATAAAATTACATATTAAAAAAAAGGTAAAATTTTCATGACATTAAAACCGCATACCATGAGATGATCCGTGAGTGCTTTAGTGCCCCGTTCATAAATATATATTTTTGATATATTTAAAAAAATTACATCAAAAGTTCTACAAAACAAAAAGTGACAATGTTATTTTATATTATCAAATTATCGATGAAAATGTATAAACAAAGTAAGATTAGTTTGATCTATAAATAATAACTAAGAGTTTTTTTTCGGACAGAGAAAGCAAATTATATGGATTAATTGATTTCAACATGATCAAAATGAAATGACAATTACAAAACTTGACCACCTATAACGGGTATATTATGTTAAGAACTATCCTTTTTGTAGAGGAGCACCTACTATGATAGTTGGTAAGATTTAAAACAGATGTTATTTCACAAATAAAATTTATTTATGTAATACACATACTCCGTATAAGTTTATATATGAAATTGGCTATTGGGGTATATTTGGATGTGCAAAAAAAATCCTTTTGTAAGATAGTGCAAGATTTCTAGCTCATGTTTGGAAAACATCATAGAGCATTAAGCAATTTGATTCAAGAATGTTTTTAAATTGTCAACTCTAATCATGATTTTGATGAATTAGTACTTTGAATTAATAATAGCCTAAGTAAAATGTTAATGTACGAGAAATTTAATTTATAGGTTTTCTATTAACTATTAATGCATGCTTATGTTTGCAAAACATGCTCAAGGAGAGATCTCAAGTTCAAAGCTGGGTGGCTGTAAAGAGAGGAAATCATGCAAAGCATGGGGCTTCTGCAAGTACCAAACATGAAACTCCATCCTTACCCCAAGTGATTGAGCTTATAACTCAATTTACCTCCTCACAACTAACTGCCTCCCAACTAACTGCCTGAACAATGCAGAGAGGCTGGATGCAGTGTCATCTATTTATAAAAAGTGAAGGTAACAAAATGCAAGCAAAATTGACTTGGGTGACTTGGGTATGCATGAAGATTAAAGAGCAAATTTTAGCTGACAACTTTCTAACAAATTTTATATGGAGTATTTAAAAAAATGATTTTGAAATGTCAAACAAATCCTTCAAATGAATTTATCCCTCATTCATGTCAAATTTTCCAAAAGTGTTCATACACTGAATACTCCGTAATATTTTAGACAATTCATTATAATTTCGACTGATTCCGAGCAAACGAAAACAAGGTCAACAACTAAATCCGAAGTATAATTTATTATAAATATAAAGCTTTGCCCTCAATATATATTTTAATAAGCTTTTGCCCCCAATACCCTTTGTAACAGAGTGCAAATAAAACTCAGTGTCATAGGTCTCATGCGTGATAAAAGAAAAAGTCCTAGTGTACTTTCTTCAACCAGGAAGGAGTTTAAATGGCGGGTCAACTGAACAACTGAGTCTACTTCTGATTCAAACCGGTTTTTATGTCTTGTTTCTGAGTCCACTATGTACACATGTGAGCAGCTCACCTCACATTGTTCCAACTTCTCTTTCTTTTGCAATCTGTTATGTTCTTGGGACAAGCTGACAAGTCTGGTGCCGAGATAGAAAACGTTACCCTTGGACGCTGCAAAGGCTGTAAAATGAAAGGTGCTGAGACTTGAAAGTGACTTGTGTTGAATATTTGGAAAAGAAAAGGAAAACTTTGATCCATATAAAACTCTGATTAATCGATATGAAGCATTACAGTATTACAATACATGTTCTTGAATAGGAAAGTAGAGATAAGCCGTAAAGTGAAAGCCTTATCTAGTACTTTTAAACTTGATGTGCCCATGAGATACTCATGCTTACAAGAAAGCAATTGAAGCTGAAAAATCAGATTAGATTATTACACTTAAAAAAGAAAGATGATTCGTGCTTACTCTCGTTCTGCAATGATATTGGAGATCATCATTCATTTCGCTGAGCCGTTCTTTTGCTAGTTGTTCTGCTTGCAGTGCTTTAGTGCAAGCATCATTAACCTTGATTTAAAGAGAAGCAAATTGCAATAGATGAGATCAAATATGAGAACTTAGAATATGACGAATTGAGCCTTAATGAAAAGAAAAAGAACTATGTTGAAGGCGATAATATTAGAAACACACACAACACATGATATATGAATCATTTGCAGTCTTAAACCAAGATGATATTTTTTAGTGAAAAAAACTCCGATTAAATTTATAGAGAAAATAAAATGGACAAAGTCCATTGTGTAGTTATGGTGATGGAATGTAGTTCAAAATGGATTACTCTGCATGATGCAGGAAGACTTAACATTGCTGTGAGAAGGTTCATGTAGATAGCCTTACCTGAGCCGTTTCTAATAGAGAAAAGTTGTTCTCGATGGATGCAGAACTCCCCAGCAGTTTGCGAATGTCAGATAGTTGCTTGATCAACTCAAGAGCAACCTGTTCAGCATCCTGCATCTGATGTTTAGTGAATTCGAACGACCTTTCAGCATGCAAGCGAAATGACGCACAGTTAAGGCACTCGCATAGTCCTCTACACCCTCTTGGGTTTCTCTTCAATACCCCTTTCATGGTATTCTCAGTTTGAGAAGTGGAAGTGTTTAATGTCTGAATTTCAGTCTGGCTTTCATTAAAAGTAACTGTTTCAACCAGGTCCCCGCAGTTTTTCTCCAAGTGCTCGGGCTGTATGGTTGCTGAGTTGCAGTCCTTCGGCAGAGTTTCAGCATGACCAGCAGCACGAGCTACTGTGAGATTGGATTCTTCAACAGATGTTGAGCTTTCACTTGAAGTGTTTTCTTTTACTAGAATTCTAAGTTCACGGTCACCTTGAGAATCTGAATCCATCGACATAGCAGACCTCTTAAAAAGATCTTCAGTAGAATCTACAGTATGAGTTGTTGCAGAAGTGGAGGTATCTGGCTTCACTTCATGTGAAACATCACTTCCATCCACATATGTCTTATCTTCGTGGTGAACTTCTTGGATGTCATCATCATCACATTTAGTTTCTCCAAGCTGTGACAATTCTGGTGTTGTAGGTAATACAACATCAGTAATAGGGCTAGATGGAACTTTGTCACAACTCACTTCTCCACGATCAGTATTTTTAGTACCGTTTGCCAGATCTGTCTCTAGATGATTGGTAGTATGTGAGAAGGTGTGTCCTACTGAAGCCCCGTCATTTACCTCCAAAATTTCTGTTGGATTTTTTATGGATTCACTTATAGAACTTGATGTGGCAACAGATACATTTGCAGGAAGGACTTCAGATGCTGTATGAGCAGTATATGCTTGTGACTTTGGAGGATAAGAATCTTTCAATTCTATAGCATCTGCCTCATCTTTAGAATCTATAAGAAATTAGTATCATAAGTTCAATTACTTGCCATAATAGTTTATAGTTTAGACATCTAGTAAGTAATATACAGAGGATACTGCCATGTGATTAGCATATCATATATGAAGAATGACAAGAATAGAATGGTTACCGTTTCCAACATCCAGCAGATATGGAAGCTGTTGTTCATAGCTAACAGAGCATGGAGGGTTCAGAACCTTCTTTCTAGAACAAGGATTCAGAACCTAAATAGATCAAACCATCATAAATTAGGATGCAAAGAAAGATAGGCCAAGGAGTAGGAGGGCTCCTTTCCACCAAAAACTCATTACTCAAATAAGTAAATGAAATAAGGGCTACATAAGCTTTAATGGACAGTAAATTGATCTGCAATTTTAAACCAGAACACAGGTCAAGCGTCATTTACCATTTTGGACTTCCAATTACTGCTGTTTCTATCAGCAGGATTTTGGAACATTTTATCATTTTGCTGAGGAGTTTGAGCTGTGCAAGCCTTATAGTCATTGGTATCAGTTTTTGTAGATATGTCGGGATCAGGTGGTGTCGGCAAAATGTTATCTCTTGTTGCACTATCCATTCCATTAAGCAATCCAACATTGGGCTCGGTTTGAGTCAAGGAAAGACTGCCACAGTTTTTATCCAGTTGTTCGCATGTAAGTTTGAACACACCATTGTCCACTTCTCCACTATGCAAGGGTATACAATCATCTAAGTGTCCAACCACAGGCTCATTTTTAGATGAAGAATAACAGTTGCCCTTGTCTAGAGATGAGCTAGACTTCCTACTATCAACATCCAGAACATTGGATTCTCTACATGTATCCCCAGTCTTAATTTCAGAAGAACCTAGTCAACGAACGTATATTAGCACAACTATGATTACATTCCGATTGGCGTGCATGTGTAATTATTACTTGATTGAATTATCAAAGGATATAACAATAAGTGGGAGCTAGAAATTACAAGATTTGTCATCATTTAAGCCCATAAGATATGGCAGCAATCTTCTATAGCTGAATGAACTTGACGATTCTACTGCCCTCCTTAACAAGTTTGTCTTCGCAATCTAGACAACAAATTGCATCAAATTAGCATCATCCACTCATCACGAGAGAAAGTATAATGCAAATAACATATAAAGAAAGCTACTATCGCTCTCAAATTAAATAACATTGGTTCAGTTCAAATCATTCAAACCCCAGAGCCATAATTAAGAACGGGTCAGATAATTAAACGAATACTTGTACAACTCAAACATAAAAATGCATTTCAGGCTACTTTCAGTGCAAAATTCAAGACCTGTTTGTTTGTAGAGCTTGGCTCATTTGGGCGAATGAGCTTGAATGGAGGATGACCGGGTTCTTTTCTATTGTCACGAATCCCATTGCCCTCTTTTGAGACTGCCTTGTTCAGACCTTCGTCTCTTACGGATTCTGTTTTGGATCCGCAGCTTTGGGCACCCACCACAGCTTCGCCATTTTTCAAATCCTCCGGTACCATTCCAATTTTCTTCGTTGATTCTTCCCCAGAAGACCCGAGAAGACTATGATTTTTGAACCCAGGCTCAAAATGTTCGCTACTTTCTTCAATCACGGAGTTAGGAGAGAAAACCCTCCGAACCCTAAGGTTACGGGACACATCGTTGGGGATTGGCTGAGCTGCTTCAGCTGTATCCGGCCATGGGTGCTTCCGTTTCATGAGAATCGGGTAGAGCTTTTGGAAATTCGGGTCGCTGGGACTGAATCGAGTGGAGCTGAATCTGGTCCGATCTGAGCAATCAAGATGGATATAGACCCGAGACTTGCTGGGCGCGAAATTGCCGTCCATTAATGGATGTGGTTGGATTGCTCGCTTTCTGCTGTTGAAGTTTTGGGATTCTATCAATGGTTTCCTAAGATCGTTTCGGGTTTGCAGATTAGGGATTGAAGAAGGCTGAGAAAAGGAGGGATTTGTGGGGTCGAAATGGCGCGAGATACTCAGCCTCCGCTCCTCCCTTTCCAATTTGGCGGGAATTGTTTAGATATTCCCTCTTTCACGCCAAAGAGTATGCTTACATAATCTCACCAAACTTAAACTCATAATGTAGTAGAAATCCAAAAAGGAATACTCCTTTATTAATCAAGGTCTTTAAAAAAATTTACAAATTTTTTATAATATTCTTAAAATTTAATATAATTTTTATTTCAAAAAGTAATACTCCCTCCGTCTTAAAAATTCTTTACTAGTTCGGTTTACGATGTTTGACTAAAATCATTTTCAATTCAATTTATTTGATAATAGGTGTAAAATTAAAAATTAAAAATTACTACGTATTTGCTTAAAAACTACATCAAAAGTTTTACAAAACAAGATGTGACATTACTACATTATTTTATCAAATAACTAAGAAAAATATGTAAAGAAAGTGATTAGAGTTTGATGACACATTACGGTAAGATGACATGATACGGTCAGATGATGCAAAGCTCAACACTACAAAGTTCACCAAAGACAACTACGAAGCTCACAAAATTGTATGGAAAAGCTCAACATAATTTTTTCACACTTTGAAGTTTTAAAATTTTAAAGTTTCAATACTCAGAAACCCTAACCAAAAAGCTTACCATTCTTTAATGCAAAACTCACCGAACATACACATGAAGCTCACCAATTTTTTTTAAAAAAAATCAAACGGTGACTTGGACCACTGTTGACCAATGACTGACGGCGGTCGGGGGCGGAGACCAGCGACGGGGGTGGTCAAGGCGGCAGACTGCGGTCAAATTCAGTGCTTAACCTGGGTCAAACTCAAAGTCAGCATCTCTTTCTTTGATTTTTTTCCAAAGAAAAAATTCTAAGTGTGAAAAAACAATGGTGAGATTTGCACTTGGTATGAGTAAGCTTTACACTTGGCAGTGGTGATCTTTGTCTCATCTGAATATATATATATATATATATATATATATATATATATATATATATATATATATATATATATATATATATATATATATGGTGTGGTTCAAGTGAGAATGACTCATAGTGAAAAAAATAAGAATGAAGCAAAGCCATTGGATTAGATTCATCAGCGGTCATCATTAGCATAGATTTAACCATTCAAATTTCATTAAAAAGTAAAGTAAAAATACGACACCATAAAAATAGGGATAAGTTAGTTTTAAAAGGGCATAATAGTATTTTTGAACTACATAATGGACGGTTATCCAAAGAAAGGTTAGGCGCATCCCCATTTTTACGCACTTACAAAAGTAGAAGATTTAGATTCCAAAATAGATTTACAAGTGAGAGAATATTTCAAGCTTATTTTGATGCGTAATACGTTTAAAGGTTTTATTTTATAGTGGAAAGTGTATATGAGTGCATTCATGCCTTTTGAAAATGCAGTATGGTTGATTAAATCTAAATTTGTGGAAAATGTACGTGAGTGCATTCATGGCTTTCGAAAATGCAGTATGATTGATTAAATCTGATTTTTTTATGTTATGTATGACAGATATTTTGTTGGATATTGTAGTGCATTCCGTTAAGGGCATCATGCATCTAAGCTTGGATACACTGCCATTTGTTCTAGTATTAGAAATTCTTGAATAATATTTTGACATAGGTGACAAATGATGTTATATATCAATATTAACACAAGTAGGAAGCGTTTCAAGGATTAAACATATTATCTTCCGCCAAGAGTATTTTTCCTCTTTTGATTTTTTATAATTAAAATATATAAATTTTGACCATAAATTGAATAAAATTGATAATAGATATTGATGCAAAAATAATTTCATTAGATTTATCTTGTAAAATATTTTCAATACATTATTTTATTTATTTCATAAATTATAAAATTTTTATGTAATAATAAGTCAAAGGTTGGTATCGATGCAACATTCTCGATCAAGAGAGTATTTTTTTACATATTCAAAGTGGAATTCACATGCACCCTCATGTAAAATCAGATGCACCATCCAAGTGGACTGTAAACATTGTGTTGCCAAAGAGCCATTATAAGTACATTAAAAATTATAAAGTATTATTCTCTCCTCTTTTCCCTTTAAAAAATCTCTTCTCTTATTTCGAACATAACACACAAAGTTTATAAATTTATAGTATAAATGACATGAAAAATAATATACAATACAGTTTCAAAATAAGAAAAATGCACTTAAGTTGGTTTTCAAGTGCACTTGTAAATTGGGGGGGGGGGATAACTTATGAAAGCATTAGGTGGAGAAAAACAACACAAATTGATATTTAAAGTGATTCAGTACATAATAAATAAATCTCTGAGATTATATGAAGGACAATTTCTATTGACATTCATGAAAACCTATTTCATTTTACATTCTACAACAATGTTTTGCCTCCTTGCTTTCTTCTTCATCAATTTCCTTTGCATATTTGAAATGCTTACTAGACTTGTTTGTTCCCAACTTTGATATAGGCACACATACTCTTCATGGTGCAGCAAACCTGTATTGTTGTATAATGCACTGTATACCTAAGTTAAGTGCATTAGGAACATAACAATATGCAATATGATAAGTGAAAAATGTTGAGAACCTATGCAAAGTGTAATATAAGTATCAATGTTAAAAATGTTTAATGAACAAAGTGCAATAAGTTGAGCAAACAATGGATCCAAATAATGCTAAAATGAATTGAAGAATATTACATTAAAAATATTATTTTCATCTAGACTGTGAGTAACCCATAAATAAAATTCATACGTGTATAATATAAACTGTATAACATAACAATATAAAGTGCAATAAGCTAAAGTCATTTAGTGTGTAAAAGTGTTGTATATATAACCAATAGAGTTCATAAAATGTTACTGGTATAATATACCATGCATCCTAACTTTTTTGTGCAATGAATATACTCCATATTTGTTTAAAACACAATAATATAATGAACACACCAAACTACCAAAGTTGCAAAGAGAAACTGTCAATACTCTTCTTTTTTTGAGGAACCAATACTCTTCTTAGAGTGCATATTATTGTTCATCCACACTCCTCATGTTAAAATCTATTGTAGCACTAAGTTAACTTTAAAAATTTTAAAAATAAGCATTTTGCACTAAAAGTATTATTCATTTCTTATTGGCTATTAAAATAAAATACACAACATAACAATATAAAATGTAGTAATAATTTAATTATACAGAGCATATAAAAATTCTCAAAATTTGTATGGGGGACAGCTATGCTCAGGGTAAATGCATCACGTAAAGGAGGCGAGTGCACTACCTAATAAAAATCTACGTCTAAAAGATAAAAGGTGACTGCACACTAACCTCGACCAATACAAATAAAGGAGACTCAAAGAGGGGCTCTGTTAGAGAGGTGCATGGACTGGTAGTCTTCCCATACGAATTCAGACTAGTAAAAAAAGGGAGGATCTAATTTCTCAAATTAAAGCACAAAGGGGTAAAGTATCAGACTCTGGACTCCTTTACAGACCTTCAATAGTGGTTTCAAACTCCAAATTCTTCATCAAAATCAATAAAAATATTATATTTGTGAAAGGTCTAACTTGAAGGAAGAAGAAAATTGAATTCAAACAAATACCTTCAATTAGCGCAGAGAGCGTGGTCGATTATTTATCCTTTGAATTTGGATAGTGGTCTAAAAGCAGCCACCCATGAAAAAAGTCTCTTCCATACAAACCGTCTTTTTTATTTTTGAAGGGCGCACCATGGCCGACAGATCGAACCCTTGAGCAGAAGAGACGAGAGCAAATGCTCACACCATTGAAAACATCTAGGACATGAAAGTGTGATCCACAAAATTGTTTGAGATTGATGGATTTAGGAAGAATTGATAGTGAAGAAAACTAATACGAGGATGCATATGCATAAGGAAATGATAAAGCTTGTGATAATGAGAAGCACAAATCGTGTCTCTAAAAATTAGGAACAATTGAGTAGAAATAGGCGTGATATAAGACCTAGGCCAAGAGTTACTAAAATGCCCATAAAAAATATTAAGAAGAAACATTAAGAATGATGAGATCGGACGGTTTAAAACTATTCTCATTTCTTTCATTAGATCTTATTCTTATTTGAACCAAACTATATATATATATATATATATATATATATATATATATATATATATATATATATATATATTGTACGGAGTAGTTGTCTTTGGTGAACTTTGCAGTGACTAGTGGTGAGCTTGGCGTCATCTCACCGAAGCATATCATCTCATCGTAAGGTTTCATCTGACTGAAGTCATCTCACTGGAAAGTGTCATTTGACCATACGAGTAATGAATAGGCCCAGAGAATTGGCAATAAAATCACACCATGTTTGAGAAATAAATGAATAAACAACAGAATACCAAATCGAAGGATAATACGGAGTAGTTGAAAGGCAAGTCCATTGTAGTACTCCGTAATAAACAAATAATAACAATTGTACTAACGTACCAATTCAAATAATATTTGTTCAAAAACAATACTCAGTTATAAATTATAGTATATGATCAAAAGGCTGAGACATTTAATCTGTGAAAGTGTACTATGTTATGCCACTACATTAATTCAAAACGAAAACTCCCACAGACGAACAATGAGGAAAACAAGATGAAAGCACTCCAAATTTAGACGAAACACAAGTTGATGATGATGATGATGATGACCAGATTACCCGAAGAAGCCCGGTCTCCTCTCTCTCCTACAAGGGTGGCTGGTGGTTGCCGCCGCCGCTGCCGCCCTGTCACCACCAGTACCTTCTTCCCTGAGACACCACGGCAAACTGTCACCTGCACCGGAAAATCATTGTGCGCCGGGAGACATGGGGGACATTACAGTAGACTTAGTAGAAGCAGCAACGGCTTCAACAGCCGAAGCAGAGTTCGGCTCTGCCCTATCAGGTCCTGCGAACCCACTTCCCTGAGATGGAGGATGAGCTGCGGGTCCCGGACCGGGTACCGGACCAGGCCCCTCGGGTTCCATTTGGTCAAACTTGCTGACCCGAGTCCTCTTGCCGCGATACCTATCGTGGCTCGGACTCCGGCTCCGGCTCCGGCTGTAACTGCGGCTGTAACTCCGGCTCCGGCTATAGCTCCTGCTGCGACTCCGGCTTCTGCTGTCACGTCTACTGCCGCGTGCTCTACCACCCCTTTCTGGGCTTGGGCTGTAGCCTCCTCTGCTGCCTCTACTTGGCAAGTCCCTTCTATCAGGAAAGCCGCGGCCTCTGCCGCCGCGGCCACCCCTTGAATCAAAGCTGTTGAACCGGTCACGAGGCCCCCCGCGTTCATTCCTTTCCCATCCTACATTATTACCCCCCGGAGAAACTCGGCCACCACGCCCGCCGAAATTGCCGTCCCTCATCCCCCCACGGCCGCCACCAAAACC